TTTTTTTTTTATTTAAATGAAAACTATTACTTAAGTAAAATGATAAATAAAAGTAGATAAGTTTAGGTCAGGCGCCAGTCCCTTGTGGCGCATAAGGTTCTAATCTCAATTGCTTTGAGGCTAGGTCCAGATGATTACAGAAAACAACTGGCAAGAACTTTTGACCCCATTTCGCTAGTGCTGAGCAAGAGTAGAGCAGGTCTTCGATGGTTCCTTACTTATCCTCGTCCGTACAACTCCTGCAGTAGTCATCCCAGGCCGCGCCCAGTGGCTATATGTAATCTAAACAGACAATTTCTGTTAAGAACTCCAGTCACTATGCGAACATCTTGCCTCCTTAGGTTAAAATAGAAACTTTGTGCTTTGGGCAATAAAATAAACAAATTTATATGTAAACAAATTATAAAATAAAAGTATAAAAAATAAACAATGAAAATATAAATATACACATACATATATTAGGGTGGTCCTTAAAAATATAAACATATAAATTTTTTATACCGCATCCCTTTATTTTGTTCGACTTACAAAATAAAAACATATACGAAAATTTCAAAATTTTAAACCAATTTATAGATGTCACTTGAGGGTTTGAGAAAAAATTATTTTTGTTTTTAAAAATCGCAAAAATTTTTACTTCAAATTTGATATTATTGAAGCTTATTGGCATATATACAGCCGGTCAATGTTAAAAATTTGGCGAATTTTCGCGATTTGAAAATAGATTAAAATTTTTCAAACTCTGTTAGCGACTCCTTTTTTAATTTTGAAATTTTCGTCGTTGTCTATTTTATACGTATGTAGAACGAAATAAAATATTTTAATGACCACCGTAACATACATATATATATCAAATATAAAAATATAAAAAAATATAAAAACATAAATAAAATGTAATGGCATATGATACATATATAAAAAACTTAAAAAAATACATACATACATGTACTTAGAAAAATTAAAACGAAAAATATAATACGCAAAAAAATTTACACGAAAGAAAAATCAATAATTTTATTTAAAAAAATTAAACATTTATTTCATTTAATATGAAAATACATACCAATCGATTATCATTAGAAGCTTAAAAACTAACAAATTTAAAACTGACTTCTTTCAGTATTCATATGAATACGTAAATATTTACAAAATCACACTTTTGTTGCGCGACTGTATTACATTTAAAGCGATTAGTCAGGACAGAAACAAAATAATATTTTTAAAATAAAAATAATGAAATGCTTAGTAAATGCGAAGAGCACACGTATAAACCGGAAAAAATCTGTACAACGAAATTTAAATTTTAAACTTAAACCAGGTTTAAAAAATTCATGCTAAAAAGAACTCAAAGCAATCAGCAATTCTAACAGAATTGAATTGAATGAAATGATTCAAGCAGCAATCAATAACTCAGTTAAAGCCGATCACTTTCAAAAGCCTCATTCGTCATGCCTTCATGCATAATGGCCGGGCTGTGAGCCGTGGCCACCACCAGCACATTGTTGCCCGTATTCACATTGCCATTCACATTGGTAGGCAGCGGCGCAGATGTAGCCGTCGAGGCCGACACATCAGCTTCAGCGTCAGCACCTTCATTTGCAGTGGTACCAACCTTTTTCTCCTCCTTCGTTGGAGGATTCTTGAGCAACGTCAACAGTGGAGCATAGAGGAAGCATAAAATCGCAATGCCAACCAACATCCATTCGAAGCCGATCGATTTCACGAGTGTACCACTTAGAGCTGGACCCACAGCGAAACCCACACAAAAGGCAACATCACCCAGCGCGTAAACGCTGCCATAAACCGCAGAATGGCGTATGTCCACTAGAAAGCCTAGTTCGGGCATCATTGATGAGTCCACCATGCCAATGGCGAAACCCAAGCCGGCATTGGGTATAATGAGATGTGTAATCGAGGTGGCCATGGGAATCTGTGTGGAGGTGAAGGAAAAATGTTAAAATAGTTTGGAAAGGTACAGGTCGCTACCTGGAAACTCGCTTACCATAATCAAACAACAGCCAATAATAATCAAGCCCAGACAGGCGGCAAACCAACGTCCGATTTTATGTCCCAATGGTCCGAAGAGATTAGTGCCAATAAGATAGCTGATTGAGGCCGGCAGAAAGGCAACACCTTGTTCCCAACGCGTAGCGCCCATATTGTCTACCATCCAGAGTGGCAGAGATGGCTCCAACATCGCAATGCCCATATTCGCAAATGTTATTGAGCCTGTAAAGGTGAAGAAAGCGTGCAATTAGTAACAACATATGCATGTACCTATAAGATATATTTTTTTGTATGCGGTAGTCAGTTCCTACCCGCAGCAATTAGTATGTATGGATCACTGATCAGCGCCTTCAGTGAGGGTGGCTCTGTTTCTGCACGCTGTATAGAGGGTTGCAACATGAACAATTGTAGTAAACCATCGCCTAAAGCCAGCGCTGATAGTATTAGAAATGGTGCTGATTTGCCAACGAATTCATACATGACACCACCAAATGGCGGACCGATGAGCACACCCAATGCCAAGCCGCCCAATGCTACGCCCATTGCATTACCACGTTCCTTATCGTCCGTATAACGATCGGCCAACATACCCATACCCGAGACAGAGGAGCATGATGAGCCGATACCTTGTAAAGCACGCGCAATAAACAGAATCAAATATGAACGGCCAAAGGCGAAGACTAAGTTGAAGAAATGTGAGGATCAGAAATTATTCGCCGACAAAGTAGACCAAGTACTAAATGATAGCTTATACTTACTTATCGTAGATATAAACATGATAACGAAGCCGGCAAACATCGGGATGCTGTAGCCGATTCTAGGGAAAGAATTGATGGAAGAAGCACAATAAACAATTCAGCTGTAAACATTAAGGATAAGCAGTAAACATTAAGGATTTTGCACCGAAGATTGCAGAGGGTCTCTAAAGCCTTAACTGCGCGTTCCATCAACATATATGCTTGTAATCTATCTGAACGTTTAAACTTACTTATGTGTCAGTGGTCCAACGATTGGATTGACTAATAACTGCACGAACGCTTTCGATGCGAATAAGATGCCCACTTCCACGGTCTCACCCACCAGCTCTTGATGTCGCTCTTCCAATTCGCGATAAAAGGTGATGTTATCTGCAAAAGTGAATAAATATCAGTTAGTTAGAAGTAAGGATTAAAGAAGTTGCTTTTAGCTCGATATGAATGGGCACACATCGGATGCCACGATAAACCTTGGACATAAACGATTTGAATGTATCGTTATCTCTCCAGAAAGAAAAATTGAATATATAAATTTTCACGCCAGTACCTACATAGCAACGCATGAAAACGTAAGAAAGTTGTATGCATTTTCACTTCTAAGCATAAATGTCGAACGCGCGCCCACGGATACGCATGCTATGGAGGTCCGCCTTAAGGGCATCTGTTATTCTATGTCCAGTAAACTGGAAAGCCTGCATGGTTACATTGTTGTCTTAATGGGCGGAGGAACACATTGTAGNATGGGCACACATCGGATGCCACGATAAACCTTGGACATAAACGATTTGAATGTATCGTTATCTCTCCAGAGGTGACGTGAATAGGCCTCCAAAATCATGCGACTTCACCCCGATAGACTTTTTCATGTGGGATTTTCTGAACTCGCGGGTCTATGCTAATGATTCGACTGGTGTCATTAAATATAATAGGATGTATGTAACCCAGGCCGTCGCTCAAGCTCAGTGGTTGACATTTTTAGCGATTTTATAGTTCATATTTTATGGCATAAGGATGGCCTCTAAAATAAAATGGAATTCCCTTCATACCTCACACATAGCTTGTTTTATTTCACTTTCGCGGGTCGACCAGAGCTTCCGCTTGAGTAGAGGTCGTGTAATTTTCTGGGTTCGGGAATCTATGTAGTTCGAAAGACTACCCAGCGCTTTCGCTTTGGTAACATGTGTCTGTACTCTGGGACTATGTTAAATATTATTCTAAGCTGAGAACTCGAATTTAGTCGGTTGCTTTCTCAGAAAATGCTCCTTCGGGTTCGATAGACAACCCAAAACTTCTCATATGGATTTATTAGCTTACATTCTTAGCCGAGTTTAAGTATCTTTGTAGTACCCTAATTCGTTCGACAGTCTAGAGCTTCACTTCCTTTAATTTTTTTATTCGTTTTTCGGCTAAAGGCGGCCCTCCATAGCATGTACGTATGTGTGCGTTTGAAAGAAAAATTGAATATATAAATTTTCACGCCAGCACCTACATAGCAACGCATGAAAACGTAAGAAAGTTGTATGCATTTTCACTTCTAAGCATAAATGTCGAACGCGCGCTCACGGATACGCATGCTATGGAGGTCCGCCTTAAGGGCATCTGTTATTCTATGTCCAGTAAACTGGAGAGCCTGCATGGTTACATTGTTGTCTTAATGGGCGGAGGAACACATTGTAGATCGAGGTCTCTGAAATTCAGGGAACCCATACACTGAACCCAATGGGGAGGGTTCGAAATATATTTGCGTTTTGTCGGACAGTCAGGCAACCATGCGGGCACTAAAGTTCCACAAAATAAATTCCCATCTAGTACAAGACCGCGTCAATGTCATAAAAGCTCTTGGAGCCACGAATGAAGTTCTATTAGGAAAGGGACCGGGACATCAGAGACATGATGGCAACGAGAAGACCCTATGCCTGGCGAAACTAGGAGTATTTCGTGGTTCGGAGGCCTTTTGGGAGCCCAACAAAGCACACATTAAGGAAATCATAAATAACTGGGTGGAAAAATGTTCACCAGGCACTGGAGGAAATGTCCAGGGCAGACACNGAATGAAGTTCTATTAGGAAGGGGACCGGGACATCAGAGACATGATGGCAACGAGAAGACCCTCTGCCTGGCGAAACTAGGAGTATTTCGTGGTTCGGAGGCCGTTTGGGAGCCCAACAAAGCACACATTAAGGAAATCATAAATAACTGGGTGGAAAAATGTTCACCAGGCACTGGAGGAAATGTCCAGGGCAGACACGGGCCAAAAGATTTATCTGTCCTTTAAAAGAAGCTTTAATGAAACTACTTAATTTTTCCAGAGAGGACCTTAAAACTCTCACTGGGTACTACACTGAACACAGTTTCCTTCGTTACCACCTCAGCAAAAAGGAATCTTTCTGAAATAAATATTTGTAGCTGTTGTGAGTTGGACGTGGAAACGTCAAACCACATTCTTTGTGAATGTGCTGTTCTTGCTAGGCGCAGACTATCTCATTTGGGTGGTGATACACTTAAACCGTTTGAAATATGGAAGAAACCGCGTTTGGAAGGGCTGGGATAGATAAAAATCCTTCCTATATAGGGCGGAGGGTCAAACTCTTCTTTAATAGTATCGGT